CTGCATCATGGTCTTATTCATGGAAATGTAACATCAATAAAGTCATCATAATCAAGGGCCTGGATGCAGTGCATCATGGTCTTATTCATGGAAATGTAACATCAATAAAGTCATCATAATCAAGGGCCTGGATGCAGTGCATCATGGTCTCATTCATGGAAATATAACATCAATAAAGTCATTATTCAATACAAACAGTTTTATTCTAACAGTCATCTATATAAATATATTTGTACAATTAAAATAAACAACAAATAACTGATAATAAACAAAAACTGAAAACATTTGTTTGTAAATTATTGCACTTCTTACATTGACTAGCCAATAAGTTTAGAGAATAATATCACTTCTATTTTTCAATAAACAATATACAAATAAACAAAACAATTGTAAGGATTTCCTTTGTTAACTTCAATGCAGTTAGTATGGGATGTGTTTGTGAAATAAGTGTTTTGGTAGACATACAAGAATAAAACTAAGGTAAAGTCACTTAGAAAAAAGTCCTTTGGTGAATTAAAATTTGTGAAGTGCTGATTCAAAAATACGATAAAAAACATGCAAACTAATAAGGGGGAAGTTTGAAATCTAAAAATAGCTAACCCCACCACATAGTCATGTGGTTGGTCCAGTTCATGAACCTCATTCATGTCTGTTATGAACTTTTTTGTCATGTTGATGGCAAATCTTTGATAATCTCTGTTAAAATTATTCACAACTTTTGTTGATTTGGGACAATTTGGAGTCTGTTAAAGATGATATATATGTTGACCTGTAGACGTTTTTGTTTGCTGTGTTGGGTTAATTGATCTTTCACTTATGTATATCCAAAATCTACATTTAGGTATTTGAGGAAATAATAAAAGTTGTGGTTGGTTTGTTTCAATATGAAATATTATGCTGATATTTTGATGATTTGCAATTTGAAAAGGGTTAAAGTTATAGCAAAAATGTTGAAACTATGCGTACTAGTTTTTTAGGATCACTGTTGATATGTTTATTCATGTGTATTTTGAACTTGCTTTCAACAATAATGATTGTGAAATGCTGAGTGATTCAAATTGAAATAAAAAACATATCGTATGAGGCTGTCATTTGTTTATTGAATTGAGACTTCATCACAAATAAAAAAATAAATGAAAAATGTTGGCACTTAAATTTTAACATAAAACTATTTATTCCAAGATTTTAGATTTTAACAATTACAAAATCACATTATATGTTCATCTTGAAGTCCAAACACCGTGAATACAACAACTATACACAATTTTTTTTTAAAACTTTTTCATAAATATTAAGATGTTTACAATGTTATTTTTCATTTATAATTTCTATTTCCAAAGGGAATAACTCCATTAAAAAAATTAAAAAATGGTCAGCACTTATTCAAGGCCTTGCTGGTAAAATCCTTTGATGCAAATTTCATAAAATCCAACAAGAAATGAAGATGTGAGAGTGCTTACAATGTTCAATACAAATTGAATTTCAAAGGGACAGGAGTCCTGTAAAAAAATTATTGATCAGCGCTGATTTTGGAGATCGCCTCCGGCTTTGCTGATATAAACCATTAATTTTAATTTCATAACAATCCTACGAAAAATATAGGTATGAAAGTGCTAACAAAACAACTTTCCATGACAAAAAAATATTGAATAACAGAGTTCCAATGTCCCTCTTGTTGCACATATTCTATCTATCAGAGGGCAGTAACTAAAAAAACACTTATCTTTTGTTCTTTAAAACTTTTTAAAAATATCTTCGAGAAATGAAGGCTTCAGAGCAAATTCAATGCAATTTCCTGTACAATCAATATTTCCAAGGGGCATAACTCGTTAAAATATTTGATCAGCACTTATTTTTGAAAGTGTCAAAGATATTGCTGATTTAAACCTATGATATGAGTTTCATAAAATTCTGGCAAGACATGAGAGCACTAACAATGCAATTTTCCATATAATCAATATTTCCAAGGAGCATAACTCTTTTGAAAATAACTGATCTGCACTAATTTTCAAACTCGTTCAAGACATTGCTGATATAAACCTTCAATATAAGTTTCATAAAAATCTGGCAAGAATTGTACACATGAGAGCGCTAACGATGCAATTTTCCATATAGTTAATATATCCAAGGGGTATAACTCTTTTAAAAATAGTTGATCGGCACTGATTTTCAAACTTGCCTAAACATTGCTGATATAAACCCATGATATAAGTTTCATAAAAATCTGGCAAGAATTGTACAAGTGAAAGTGCTAACGATGCAATTTTCCTTATAATTAAAGTTTCCAAGGGGCATAACTCTTTTAAAAATAGTTCATTGGCACTGATTTTCAAACTAATCCAAGACATTGCTAATATAAACTTATGATATCAGTTTTATAAAAATCTGGCAAGAATTGTACATGTGAGAGTGTTAACGATGCAATTTTCCATATAATTATAGTTTCCAAGGGCATAACTCTTTTAAAAATAGTTCATTGGCACTGATTTTCAAACTCGTCCAAGAAATTGCTAATATAAACTTATGATATCAGTTTTATAAAAATCTGGCAAGAATTGTACATGTGAGAGCACTAACAAGACCTGACGGACAAACAAAAAGACAGATGGACGGAAACTCTGTATTTCTATGTCAAAAAAATAAATACATGTTTCTGATAATGAATATCCTTCATCAGTATGAATTGCCAAATTAAAATTGCTTTTTCTTCTTTTCTGTAATCTTGAAATTTATGCATTATACAAAGTGAACACAGTTTTGTGAAAGTTAACATTGAGCATAATAATTTATACATACCAATGTTTTGTGAAAAATTAACCCAAGTATAATATACATAACACAGATATTTCAAACATGAACCTCAGTATATACATAATCTTTTATGATAATGTGTAGCAGCTACCTTTAATTCTTCAAGCATTTTAAATTAGCAAGGGACTAAAATCATAATATGATATATATATATATATATTTATATATATAAATTTGAAAAACTATAAACTTAACAACTAATGCAAAAGCATCAACATTTTCTTTATGTTGACAGACACTATCACCATACACAAAAGCAATGTAAACCCGTCTAAAACTACAACAATATTTGACTCAAGTAAAACCATCAATCTAAAAATTAAGAAAAAAAAAAGAAATAAATGTCTACTAAAACCCATCTAGGACGAAAATACACTTGTTCTCAATAAGTGAAACAATACATCTATAAACTAAGAAAATATAAAAGCAAAAGTTATCTACAAAACAATATAAACCAATAATAAATTTCAAATAATAAAAAACTAAAAATGTGAGTGAACTTAAAAGGATAACCACTGCACGCATATCTAATTATCTCCCCTTTCACATGCTGGACTGGGATTATATTCCTTAATAAATATCCTCAGGTCCTGTTCTACAAATGTGTAAAGTTAAAAAGTATTCATCCAGTCTGAGTACACGGTCAGGTGGACAGATAGACGGACAGACAGACTGACAGACAGATAGGATGATTCCTATAGAACACCCCCTTCCCCTCCAAAAAAATAACAACAAAAAAACAGTTTGCTTGAGATACTCAGAGGCTTTTTAATTGTCGTAAATGAAATTAATTAAAAATAAGAATGAAAATCAACAAGACAGTACTAGGAACCAGTTTAAGAGACTAAACAAGACTTGCAATCAGAGTTTGGTTCAGTCTAGTAGGAGATAACACTAACATAAACATGTACAAAGACAGTTAGGATCTGTACATTTGAAAAGTCCCTTTACATTTTTGTATATATCTTCAACTCCTTAAACACTTGAAAAAGTAACATATTTATGTACCTGTACATATACACTATACAGTAATTCACAAGTAACTGTGAAAGAGAACTCTACAACCAGCATCAATGAGTACTATTTAGAGCAAATATCATACCTGATGTGTATTCAGATAGGAAACTTTTCTTCATGGTTTGTTCAAATTATTTGACCACCTAAAACTTAAAACAAATGAATAATAGATGAAGGGTGCACATCAATGAGACAGCAACCCAAAGACATATATCTCCAAAATGACATAGAAAGGTCAACATAAAGTTTTTAACTATAAACAAATGTCTTTTTATACAGCTGGCTCCAAGTTGAGAAAAACTTTTGAATAAAACAGTGGTGGATTTAAGGAGAGCCAGGGGTATTATACTTTTTGGCATTTACAATCCCTCCCAAAAGATATAAAGAATCCAGCATTTACAGGTATACCACAAATAATAATGAATCCACAGTAAATGGTAACTAGTAAACTGACATGTTAGCAAGGGCACCTCTTATACATTATTTTGGGAGGCAAGGAGACTGATGCATACAAAGCAAATGTCCAAAGTTATCAAATATCATAAATTTCGAACCAGCAATTAATTCAGGATTTGTTCTCGCTCTATATATGTTTTTTTTAAATCCAAGCACTATTCATTTTGGTGGGCATTTTCGTAAATGGTGGGCAACAAATAATTTTGACACAGAAAATCATTTCTCAATAGCAAAAGATATGTTTTAACAAAAACCTAAGTTTTCAACCAATTTTGACTTGAGAAATAATTTGTAATGCATATTATGCTTATATTAAATATCAATTTTCAATCACATCCTACCACAAGAAGATGCTTCTCAAAATTTGTGATTTTTTAACAAAAAGTCAGTTTTTACCTATTTTTATTTGTCAATCTCTTTGAAATAACTTATTAAATACACCTATATATCAGTTATTGTTAAAATCCTATTATAAGAAGACATTTTTCAAAATATAAGATTTTTTAACAAAAAGCAAATTTTTTTCCAAAATAAATGAGCCAAATTTCACCAAAATATAATATGCACAACTAATATTATGCACAACAATTGTGAAAAATTTCATTGGCTCCCTACCTATACTTTTGGAGTTTTTGCGTTTACAAAAGACATTTCTCAAAATTTGTGATTTTGATTAACAAAAAAATAAAACTTTTTCAATAATGAATAAGCCAAATTTCACCAAAATATAGTATGCACGTCTACACATTATGGCACAACAACTGTAAAAAATTTCATTGGTCTCCTATCTATACTTTTGATGCTATTGTGTTTACAAAAATTATGGATGGACAGACAGCATGACAGACAAAGTGAAAACTATATATATATAGGGCTCCTGTATCCTCTATCCGGGGCTCTAATAAAAAAAGTAGCACAATAATCTCCATCTAAATTAAATATGAAGATGCTTATACAACTGCAACCCAAATATCATTGACCTAGCATTGGTGGTTCTGACATAATCATAAACTTGAACAAATTGTTGACCCTGCATGAAACAGCACCTCTAAGTCTTGCCTCGGAGACTTTGTCAAGAAATGTTTAGACCTCAGACATAAAATAACTATACACATCAATGTGCTCAATTTCTTGTTGCACACAGTACGTTAAATTTAAAATTGATTTATGTCTGAGGAAGCATACTACAAGACTTTCATATTTTTGGAAGGTCATAATATATCAGTCGATTGCAATACTGAACAAATACAATATAAATATAATACAAACTTTCTGCATATTCAGTAACTTTTGTGTGCATTTATTACTGCTATTGTTCAACAATACACAAAAATGTCATTAATTATTGCAATATCAGGATTTATCATATACTTATAGAAAATAATGGTATAATTGTACCCTTGATAAAACTTATTTGTTCATATATTTATTCATTAAATTTGAAGAATTGTCTTAGCTGTCTGAATCTTTCGTTATCAACTGCTTCCGCTTTATATCAACTGCTTCCGGTTTATATCAACTGCTTCCGGTTATTATCGCATGCCATTCTGTAATATTATCCTGTGGCATTTTGATGTCATTCTGCAAATTTAACTAAGTAGGATAGAAAAACAAATATTAGGAAACAGGAAAAAAATATTATTAAAAAAAGCAAAAAAACAATACGATAAATGCATTTTTCAAAGTTTTAAAAAAAGTTCTTGTCTGTATGTCTTCTGCTGAAGTATATGATAAAAAGAACATAACATGTCATTTTTCATAAACAGCCCATGGTCAAAATCATCCCTCGAGCCTGTCAGCTCTCGGACTGATATCATGACCTAGGGCTGATAAGAGGTCTGATATGAAAAATGCCATGTTTAATTATAATCTATATATACTGCATACCAATAAAGATATCAAAATTTAAAATGGGAGTTTTAATTTTTGTGCAATTCTATCGCAATTTCATAATAATAAAAACATAGCAAACATTTCTGTATTTTCAGTAACAATATTACAATTTTAGGTTAACCTAGAAATAATGCAACCCTTTTGATGCATTGCTATTGAAGTATAATACAAGCTTACTTTAGTGTGTGTTCAGCAAAAAGTATAATGTTGCATACAATAATTTTAAATACTTTTTTTTCAGTGCATTTTTATTATATATATTTGCATAAATTCTTAACCTTAGTTATGGTATTTCAATAAGTCCATTTTCATAATAACAACTTTAATTTTGGATTTTATAATTTCTGTAAATCATTTCCCCTAATGTTGGACAACAATGTCCTTGTGCTATGTTTATGTTTTCTTTACACGAAAAAATCATCATCGGAAAACGGTTATTTTTTTCCCAAAATTGCTCTGATTTTTAGCTTGATTTTACTTTTTTCAGTTGCTCTTACTTGACAAAGCACCAGAATGTCTTATCGTTGAGTAGGTATCCTGTCAAGAAATTATATACTCCAGAGTCAATAGTAGGGTTGATATGAAAATTGTCTATTGGTATTGTTTGTAGAACTAATCTCTACAATACAACTGAAAAAATACAAATTTCTTTTGAGTGGCAAGGAAAGTAAATATCTAAACCAAAAAATTTAACAAACAAGCCAAGCAATTTTGTTGCATACATTGGTGCATAATGTAATTTACACTTATATTGATGTACATGTAAACGTGAAAACCCTAATGATCCTTTAAGACACAAAATCAATTCTTCTACACACTGCATACAGTTTTAACACAATACTAAATATAAAAAAACATCAACAAATATCAACAAGGATAAAAAATCAGTATAATCATCTGTTATATATATATATATTCATATTCTGATCAACAGAATATAAAATTTAATGGCTATCCATAGCTTTCAGATATCTCTGGTCAACAAGATGAGGGATCACTTTGTGTCTGTAAAAGAAGACATACCAGATATAAATATAAGACAATGTTCAATGAACTGTAAAATCTGTGTCAAAAAAACTAATTTGGCATTTATTATAAAAAGTTCATATCATAATTGACATGCTACTTAAATTCAAGTTGATGTGACCACAACTTCATGGTAAACTTCCTTAAATCAAAACTTTAACCTGAAATGGGACAGACAGTTGGACTGTTTGATGGATGGATGAATGCACAGACTGGAAAATATCAAGCCTCTAATATGGTAGGTGGATCATTAAAAACTCAATCAGTTCATTTTCCTATTTTTCCATTTTTAATGGAGCACAACTCTGGAACACAAAACTACATTGCAGTGAAAATTAAAAATGTTACATCTACATCATTTCTTCTCTATTTGCATTCATACAACATTTTTCTTATCTTTAAATTGACCTGCATTTCAAGTGATGAATTTTGCAAAGATACAAGTCTTACTCCAAACCAAACCAACATTAAAATATCATCAGCTTCTTTGTAGATCTTGCCTTTCTGATCATTTGTGCTATTGAAAGTTTCTATCTATTTATACCATTTTTCAAGATATTAGGCAAAAATGCCAAAATATGGTAAAAATTTTCATTAAAGGGCCATAACTCTAATAAGGAATTGTCAGAAGATTTTGGTCTTTGATGACTTATTTGTAGATCTTGTCTTGCTGATCATTTTTGCTATTTAAAGTTTCCCTCTATATTTTATAATTTTCAAGATAATAGGGAAAACATTTAAAATGGTAAAATCCATCATTTGAGGGCAATTACTCCTATAAGAAGTCGTCTGACAGTTTTGACGTCAAAAGACAATGGTAAGAGCTCAGCATTCTGAACATTTTTGCATCTGTCAGAATTTCTCTTTTTACAGCTGTTTTAAATAAAAAAGGCAAAACATGCATTTTGCCCCTATGTTCTAATTTTAGCTATGTTGGCCATCTTGGTTGACAGGTGTGGTCATCGGACATATTTTTTAAACTAAATACCCCAATGATGATTGTGGCCAAAGTTTGGTTAAATTTGGCCTAGTGGTTTCAGAGGAGAAAATTTTTGTAAAAGTTAACAGACGACGACGCCGGACGACAAAGAAGAGGGACGACAGTCGACGGACGCCAAGTGATGAGAAAGCTCACTTGGCCTTTCGGCCAGGTGAGCTAAAAATGATCCGAACGAATTAAATTAAAACTTGATCTGTATCTTGTCATGGTAAAACTATATACCAAATATCAAATCAATAATTTTAAGCATGATGAAAAAACATGCAGAAACTGATTACTTGCGTGGATTTTTCAAGTCAAAGACCATAAGTGTGCACAAAATCATCGGACCAGTAACTAGTCATGATAAAACTATATACCAAATATCAACTCAATATCTTCAAGCACGAAGAAAAAAAGCATGGAAAACTGATTTGCCGGACAGACAGACGTAGTGCAAACCTAAAGTCCCCTTTGACTTCGACGGTAGGGGACTAATAAGACAAGGTCCATAGAATGAACGAAAGAACAAACAACCCAACAAAGGACACAATGACAACCGAGGATATCCAACTTCTTTAAGCAGAGTATAATAATAATGGTGGTGTGAACTATTGGTAGGTAAAACAAAATGGTTTATTTGGAGTTTATATGTAATTCGCTCCACTGGTGGGCTGTGAAATATTATCAGACACATAAAATATCTAAACTTACTAAACGAGATGATGGTATGAATTTCGTCTCTGGTCTCTTGAGTTGTCTCATTGGCAATCATACCACATCTTCTTATTTTAATATTGGATGATTAGAAAAAAATGTAGCTGAATAAGGAAATCTTATAGTTTTGTTCAATTGATTTTTTTTATTTACTTCTTCCAACATTACCTTAAAGGAATCAGTAGAAATATCAGAACAGGGAAGAACATTTTCAGATATGGATACGGTGCAAATCCTAGTCCACACAAAACCAAAAGCTGTAGTAACTGTAGTACTGTAAACAGGTGCATCATTCTCTGGGGCACCCTTCTTATGTAATGGTTTGGTGGATACGCATTCTATAATTGAAAGGAAAAAATAATAAAACATGCAAAAATATTGTTATCTTGTACAATATGCATTATTATGATTTTACTTAAAAGTGATAACTGAAACATAAATATTCAATACCACTATCAGAAAAGTATCAAAATCAATTTCACTGATACAATACATTGCACAAAGCACTTAAATATCAGGCACAGATCCAGAAATTTTGAAAAGATAGTTACAATGGTATCCAGGCTACTAAGTCAATTCAGAAATTTTTGTGCTGTTTTTGTTGTTTTTATTGTAAAGAGATAAGTCTATCACAAAAATAAAATTTTAATTTTGTAAGCATTTTTAGTATGCATCATTTTCTGAAATGACAATCATTAATCTCGCATTTGTTTCCTTTGTTCAACAATCGCAATAATTAAAATACACACAATAAATTCTGAATTTATAGTAATTCTTATTGATTTTCATGTAATAAAAAAATAGTGAAAAATGAATTAAGGTTCAACCAATGCTTGCAAATATAATTCTAAATAAATAGGAGCACACCTTTGTTGTCATTGGTCAATACATTATAAATTGCTATACTGACTGCAATTTTTACAATTACTGCTATTCCCAAAGAAAAAAACTCATAAGATAAAAGAACAGAGTTACAATGTCCCCTGCCTTGCACATATTTTATCTATCCAAGATACAAGGGCAATAACTAAATAAATAGCGCTAGCGAGGCCATTTTCCATAAATTCAATATTTCCAAGGGGCATAAATCTTTTAAAAAAAGTCGATCGGCCACCATTATAAAATTTGTTCGAGATATTGCTGATATTAACCTATAGTATAAGTTTTATAAAAATCTAGCAAGAATTGTACCTGTGAGGTATTTTCATGCCCCACACAACACGTTATGCAGGGGACAAAAAACTATCAATAGACCAAATACCTGTTCAGTAAATAGCAACATTATTCTTTCAAACATCTGGTTTCCATACAGAGAAGTTATTCCAACATACAGGAACAGTCCATATAACACAGGAGTAGGGATGTATGACAGTACTGGAGTTATCAGTAAGGAGAGTCCAATCAGTATGTGGGAAAATATAGCTGTTATTCTCGTCTCTCTAACTTTTACAAGTCTGTACAAAGAAGAAAACCAACAGTATTAGTTGCATGTTAATATGAAATGATTTGAAAAGCATGCAATGTACAGGGTTCACACATCTGTAAAAAATTTATTTAAACTTTCACATGAACTGATTACACAGATATTTTTTTTATTTAGGGTTTTTGTTTAAAGCACTACAGATATAAAACTCGTCTTTTGTCATTAAGTTTGAACTGTAGGCCTAAGTAGCCACATAGTGGCAGGGGCTGTTTACACTCCTTAACATTCCCTAAGTGATATGATTGTAATTAGTTATTTAGTATTGTAGAACTTATTTAAGAATTTACAATCCATGTTAAGACAAAGTAATTTAAAACACATTAAACTGTAGACATACATTTTATAAATATGTCCCTGATCAACTCTTTCCTCCACATCAGCTAGGGCTTGCACATGTAATGGTGAATGTGGAAGTGCTGCATGTACCCATGGGAATCCTAGTAAACTTAGGACAACATTGATTACTCCAATTACCAACAAATCCCAATGATATGCTGTTCCTTTCTTCATTCTGAAATGTAAGCAAATAATAGACTGTTTTCACTTCAGTATAACACCAACCACTTCTGTGGTCTTGTGTAGCAGGTTTGCTTACCATATGGTGAGTATAAGGCATCCATTTAGTCAAAATTATTGTTTTTAAGGAGATCCAGAAATATTTCAGGACCTCCACCATAATTTGAATTCAGGACCTCCGTAAATTGGATTTCAGGATATCCTAAAATATTTATGGAGGTCCACAATTATTTCAATACCTCCACAATTCAATTTAAGGATATCCTGAAATTGATTTAATTTTCATTAAGTGTATCCCACATTTCTTTTTATTCATATTGAATAGATATTTTTCCTTATGTTACTTTAACTTTTGCAGTTTTACATTCGAAATAAACATGACAAAATGGCAATGTATTGAAAAGATTCTTTCATTTTTTTCTGTATCATATTGTTTCCCATTAGTGTATTTGAGCTTGAGTTATTTCCCTTGGCCACTGCATTGGAGAGCAAATTGTTTGATATTTCTTATTTGAATAACCAAAAGGATAAAGCACAATTTTGGTGCTTAACTGGTTCTGTTCACCAAAATAACATTGCCTGCTGTCATTACAAATAACAATTTGTAAGCATCATAATACACTTACTGTTTTAATATCTATTTTTGGGATGGTTGTGCTCTACATTATTTCTAAGCATGTACAAATCAAATAGTTAAGATTTTGCTTGACTTTATCATTTTATTGAATTAATTGTCTTTTCATGTCTGTTTTTTTTCTTTTTTTCTTTAGGTAGTTACATTCAACATCTTATTCTGAAAATTTAGGATAGTTTGAAATATATTTGATTTAAGGGCCAAATTTTCCCCAAATAGCACCTTGTCCTTTAAAAGGGCACTAGCTGTCAAATTCATGTTCACCTATTTGACTCAAATTCTCATATTTGATTTATAACATACTAAAATTTATGTCAGAATTATAATAAGTCTGAAATAAACAGTTAAGAAAGCCTGTACTCGATAATATATATCAGAATTTCATGTGTAATTTAGTCTAGACGCCATCTAATTAACTATCGAGATGACCTCCGAATACTACCAATGGTCACATAACTCGATATAAACATAAACATAAATATAAATAGATTGCGACCTCGTGCAATTGGATTTTTTTAGGTTTGTTCAATCTCATGTGATAGGTTAAAAAAAATAAGCTAATTAACATTTTTACCTGTATAAGAATGATTTTTTGTGGATCGAATCAGTCAACTAAATGGTTCACCTTTGTTTCACTTTCAATGTTGACATTCTTTTCCTTTTAATGACTGAACTCGACTTATGCATGTGTAACCAATCTCTAGCTAAAGGGTTAAATTGAAGGTCACATGAATACAGATTTAATGAGGTTGAATTATTCACTTGCAAGTGAATAATTCATCATCAATATTTCTTTGCTTATTTTGTCAAAATTATACCAAATTGGATGCTAAACGAATTTTTTATTTCATCATTTAACTTTTATTAATGATTGAACCAAACGAAATCATATTCTAATTTTTTTCATATCTCGTAGCTAGTGCCCCTTTAAACAATAGGTGTGAGTAAGTCTGATAATAGATCCTAATGCCAGATCATATTGATGAATTATACAATTTTTAATTAAATTAAAATTGTTCAATAAGCATCTTTGAGGAAAGTCTATCAGTTAGTATAACAAATTGAATTTAGTTAATTTGAGAAGGAATTAGTACATGTTGCCCTCCAACATGACTGAAAAGGGAATAAACAGTAAATGCAATTATGTCCATGGACAACTATCTATAATAGACTACATCTAAGGTATTTACTTGTTCTGTGGACCATTTACTAAAGCTGCTGTAATATTTTGGTCCATGAAGAACAATAAAGATAAACAGAATCCTAATCCCATAGCTCCAAACACAGCACCGACAGGAAGATTATAAAATGGCATCAACTGGAACATGTCTGACCTTAAAGGACCTGCCTTAAAACTCTTTATCACTGAAAAATATAGAAAATTGTATTATTCTACTTCTAACAAAAATCAAAGGGCAATAATTTTTAAAATAGCAAGAGCTTGTGATGCATAAACATTAATAGCAAGCCTGTTGTCTGTTTGTTGTTGTTTTATCAGGTCAAATACCAAGAGGTTACAAAAAGGCATCAGAAAATCATTAATCCTGAAGAAATGACTGTCAATAGTCTCTATATTTGTAGGAGTGTCACAAGAATTAGTTGTTTTTGCAAAGTGAAAGATGATTTTTATCGATTTTCTATTAATTTATAAATGGCAGATGAAACTAGAGGATCTCAAGAGCCTGTGTCGCTCACCTGACTCTAGTTTGGTTTTAGAAATCATGTAAAGATAGATAAAAATCATAACAGATACCCAAATAATGATTGAGGCCAATTTGGCTTAATATTGGTCCCGTTATTTAATAAAATATCCTGGTGGCCATCTTGAACAGTAAATTGGCAACAAAGTAGCAACACTTGGTCAGCACCTCATAAAGCACATGCATGCCATGTTTGGTTTCATTCCATTCAGTGGTACTCTAGAGGAAGACATTTGTATGTATTTCCTATAGGGTCCTATGTTAAACTAAGTCCCCCGCTGGCGGCCATCTTGGATGATGGATTGACTACAAAGTAACAACACTTGGTCAACACCTCATAAGAAACATTTATGCCATGTTTGGTACCATTCCATTCAGCGGTTCTCTAAAAGAAGATATTTGTATGTATTTCCCATAGGATCCTATGCTAAACTAAGTCCCCCGCTGGCGGCCATTTTGGATGATGGACCAACTGCAAAGTAACAACATTTGGTCAACACCTCATAAGGAACATTCATGTCATGTTTGGCTTCATTCCATTCAGTGGTTCTCTAAAAGAAGACATTTGTATGTATTTCCCTTAGGGTCCTATGTTAAACTTAGTCACCCACTGGCGGCCATCTTGGATGATGGATCGGCTGCAAAGTAACAACACTTGGTCAGCACCTCATAAGAAACATTCATGCCATGTTTGGTTTCATTCCATTCAGTTGTTCTCTAAAACAAGACATTTGTATGTATTTCCCATAGGGTCCTATGTTAAACTAAATCCCCTGCTGGTGGCCATCGTGGATGATGGACTGACTGCAAAGTAACAACACTTGGTCAGCACTTCATAAGGAACATTCATGCCATGTTTTGTTTCATTCCATTCAGTGGTTCTCTTAAAGAAGATATTTGTAAGTATTTCCCATAGGGTCCTATGTTAAACTAAGTCCCCTGCTGGCGGTCATTTTGGAAGATGGATCGGCTGCAAAGTAACAACACTTGGTCAACACCAGATAAGGAACATTCATGACATGTTTAGTTTCATTCCATTCACTGGTTCTCTAAAAGAAGACATTTGTATGTATTTCCCATAGGGTCCTATGTTAAACTAAGCCCCCTGCTGGCGGCCATCTTAGATGATGGATCGGCTACAAAGTAACAACACTTGGTCAGCACCTCATAAGGAACATTCATGCCATGTTTGGTTTCATTCCATTCAGTGGTTCTCTAGAAGAAGTTAAAAATGTAAAAAGTTAACAATGACGGACGACGACAGATTATAAAATGGCATCAACTGGAACATGTCTGACCTTAAAGGACCTGCCTTAAAACTCTTTATCACTGAAAAATATAGAAAATTGTATTATTCTACTTCTAACAAAAATCAAAGGGCAATAATTTTTAAAATAGCAAGAGCTTGTGATGCATAAACATTAATAGCAAGCCTGTTGTCTGTTTGTTGTTGTTTTATCAGGTCAAATACCAAGAGGTTACAAAAAGGCATCAGAAAATCATTAATCCTGAAGAAATGACTGTCAATAGTCTCTATATTTGTAGGAGTGTCACAAGAATTAGTTGTTTTTGCAAAGTGAAAGATGATTTTTATCGATTTTCTATTAATTTATAAATGGCAGATGAAACTAGAGGATCTCAAGAGCCTGTGTCGCTCACCTGACTCTAGTTTGGTTTTAGAAATCATGTAAAGATAGATAAAAATCATAACAGATACCCAAATAATGATTGAGGCCAATTTGGCTTAATATTGGTCCCGTTATTTAATAAAATATCCTGGTGGCCATCTTGAACAGTAAATTGGCAACAAAGTAGCAACACTTGGTCAGCACCTCATAAAGCACATGCATGCCATGTTTGGTTTCATTCCATTCAGTGGTACTCTAGAGGAAGACATTTGTATGTATTTCCTATAGGGTCCTATGTTAAACTAAGTCCCCCGCTGGCGGCCATCTTGGATGATGGATTGACTACAAAGTAACAACACTTGGTCAACACCTCATAAGAAACATTTATGCCATGTTTGGTACCATTCCATTCAGCGGTTCTCTAAAAGAAGATATTTGTATGTATTTCCCATAGGATCCTATGTTAAACTAAGTCCCCCGCTGGCGGCCATTTTGGATGATGGACCAACTGCAAAGTAACAACATTTGGTCAACACCTCATAAGGAACATTCATGTCATGTTTGGCTTCATTCCATTCAGTGGTTCTCTAAAAGAAGACATTTGTATGTATTTCCCTTAGGGTCCTATGTTAAACTTAGTCACCCACTGGCGGCCATCTTGGATGATGGATCGGCTGCAAAGTAACAACACTTGGTCAGCACCTCATAAGAAACATTCATGCCATGTTTGGTTTCATTCCATTCAGTTGTTCTCTAAAACAAGACATTTGTATGTATTTCCCATAGGGTCCTATGTTAAACTAAATCCCCTGCTGGTGGCCATCTTGGATGATGGACTGACTGCAAAGTAACAACACTTGGTCAGCACTTCATAAGGAACATTCATGCCATGTTTTGTTTCATTCCATTCAGTGGTTCTCTTAAAGAAGATATTTGTAAGTATTTCCCATAGGGTCCTATGTTAAACTAAGTCCCCTGCTGGCGGTCATTTTGGATGATGGATCGGCTGCAAAGTAACAACACTTGGTCAACACCTGATAAGGAACATTCATGACATGTTTAGTTTCATTCCATTCACTGGTTCTCTAAAAGAAGACATTTGTATGTATTTCCCATAGGGTCCTATGTTAAACTAAGCCCCCTGCTGGCGGCCATCTTAGATGATGGATCGGCTACAAAGTAACAACACTTGGTCAGCACCTCATAAGGAACATTCATGCCATGTTTGGTTTCATTCCATTCAGTGGTTCTCTAGAAGAAGTTAAAAATGTAAAAAGTTAACAATGACGGACGACGACAGACGCCAAGTGATGAGAAAAGCTCACTTGGCCCTTTGTGCCAGGTGGGCTAAAAATGTATTACAAGGCAAAATTTGCTTATTATCAATATTTCCAATACTGATGACTTCTTCAGTTTTATACATGTAGTACAATTGTTACCTGCAAAATATGTTTTTAACCCACTGACTGATTATCATTGCCACCATAATTCTTGCACCAAAATTTTCATTTTATAACTTTTTAACACTAATAATTTTTGCAACCAGACACAGTATGCAAAAGTCTTGCTACACTAACTTTCATTTTAAAAGTAATTACGGAGTACTCACTTGTTACATCTTTAAAGGCTAAAGCACCAAACACACTCATAATAATAACAGAAACAGGAAGAGAATAATCTGCCAGCAGTTCTCTCTTTCCTGCATTTAGATATGGTCTGAAATAATAGAAAAAATGAAGATTAATACGAAAATATTTTCGACATCTCAAATGGTCCTAAATTGTATTTTTATCTTTCATATATTTTAAATTGCATCTATTAGTTTTGCTAATCAGAATGAAAAACCTGCAGCTACTATCTATTATGTCTATTGTCATTTTCCAAAATCATTTCAAATAATACAGCTGTAATCAAGATATCTAGAACAAGGTGTGGTGTGGGCTATTGCTAACTAATTAGACTCCCACTCATTATGCAGATAGTCTTAGCTGTATTTTGCACAAATTTTTGGAACTATTTATTTCAATGTTCTCCAACGTAGTAAATGATTTGCCCTTTCAACTATTGTGATTCCAGCCCCACTGAATAGTCTTATGAAGTTGAAAACATATGTCTGCAGTACCAGGTTATAATCTTTGATGAGTTTTTAAATCAGTAAATATTAAACTTGATAACAGTTTTATGTGACTGGTACTTTTCCCATGGAGGTACTTTATGGTATATTCTATGACTACTTCAAATAAAACTGTCTCAATTCAGGCTGTACTATTCAGTTGTGAGGAGGGAAAAAAGTACCAAGTCCCTCGTAAAACTTTACTCAGTGCTCAGAGTACAAAAACTTGTGCTCGAAACACAATGTCCAGAATTTTGATTGGTTAATTTCTAAGTCTGAGTATGATAATTGTGCTCTAAACTTTTATGACCACTATAGGCCAGATGTCTACTCCTATCAAGGACCTGTGATTTAAACATGGTCGTTACAATTTACTATGGTTTATGCACTTTTGAGGCAAACATTAATAATCACTGTAAATATTTTGTTGAATAACTTACGTCTTTGTAAAATTGTATAATGTCACACCTAACCACAGAGTTCCTAAAAGTAATATTAAGTATAACAAGCTAACATCTCTCTCACAGACTGTGATAATCGTTGTTGTTACATTAACAGTTGTGTTAGTAGTAGAAAATGTACTACTGTTGTTGTTACAGGCTGGAATGTTGTAATGGTTGGCAAAATCTGAAAATATATAGTTGTAGTGATGCAGTATTTATCATTCAATTCATATACAAGTAGTTGTATTTAAAATTTTTAAAGTTAAAAAATATTTTTACATACAATAAATGAATCAGGATCATTTAATCAGTTACTCTTGATAAAAGAACAATGCTTGAGTATTCCAACCAGATAAATAACAAGACCAATGCCGAGTCTGGACCTACGTCACTGCATGTAATTGATTGAGGTTGCATATATACTAAATCGTAACTGATCATTCCCTTTCATTGAAGCCAAGAAAACTTTAGATGCAAATTTTCCTTGTAAGGGCTATTCCATTAAAATGTATGTGGGAGGGTAGGAAGGGACTTTCAAAATATCCCTACAACCAAGAACCATTTTTTAGATAATTTTGCATAATGGTAATAGACGCATACTGAAAAAAGACCCATGACCCACATTCAATAATTAAACTTCCCTTCCTACCCTCCCACATAACTTTTAATGGAATAGCCCTAAAATGGAATGAATGTTGTAAAATTTCAAACAGCAAAATATCAGCAAACAGGAAGTGGCTGCACAGTAGATGTAAAAGTTGTGAAAACTCTTTATAAATTTTTTTTTACCCAAGGTCTTTTGCACAGAGTCGAGCAGTTACTAGACCTGCTTTTGGCTTTGGCGATGCAGGTATAACTAAATCAACAGAATTCTTCATGGTCCACACTTTTTTCAAGATTCTACACAGTTAATATTGATTTCATGTTATTTTGAATCCATTGATTTTCACTTTAATATCAAATATCTGCCTATCAAATTACATTTCTAAAAAATCATGAGTATTTGGGTTTCAATGTTTGGAGGTTTTTACTGAACTTACTTTGTGCAGTATTTTTCAATGCATCCACAATAAAAGCTATAGATATGAACAAAGCAAATATTTCTTCTGAGGATCTCGTAGACCACTGCATAAGTTTACTTAACCCAAATGATGAATATAGGAACAGGAAAAAACTGTTCCATAGTCCAACACAAGCAAACATAGGCATAAATTCCAAACTAAAGTCTTGACAAATACTGTAAATTACTGAAAAAGAAATTTTGAAATGATAAGAAAATCAAAAAGTAAATTAACTATCCTAAAGAATAAAGCACACAAAATAGGAAGATATTGATAAGTATTGATTGATTGGTGTTTAACACCACTTTCAGCACTATTGTGGTAAATTATTATTGGTGGAGGAAGCTGTAGTGCCCAGAGAGAACCACTGATAGGAAAACTGACAATCATAGTCAATTAAGATTGGAGTCGAGGGCACCTGCCATATACGGGATTCAAACTCACAACCTCAGTGTTGACCGGCTAGTGATACAGTAGTTCGACTACTTAAACCACTCAGCCACGGAGGCCCCCGATATCGTAGTAAGAATTTTAAAAACTGTGAAAAAACTTGATGGGCATATTTTTTAAATTTATTAAATATATCTGCTTGACAAAATGCATGAACTAACCTGACAAGCACACTTTTGGGACTTGATTGTTATTTTAATGAGGGTTATAAAGTTTTACATTCTAGGCTTACAGTCATATTAAGCTTTGGTTTATGATTAATATGATTATCATACTCAAGACTCAAATAATGGATTTGGTGTATCTGAGTGAAGTCCCTAGTACTGAATTAAGCTTTATGACTTAAAGACCTGACCAGTAAGATTTCCTTTTTTTCCATTTCAAGATTTTCAACTGAATCTCCCATTCAATCTTGTATTTATAACATGTATAAAGCAACTTTCTTATTTATAAAGGGATGTAGATTAATATCCGTGGATATTTTTCATCGAATGCTTTTAATTTCCTTATTATTTTTTTTGTAGAATACTTTAATAATATTAGATAAATCTTTGTAACTTACTTTTTGTAAACAAAGCCAAAGGGGCCGTTGTCAGGAGTATAATCTGTGGTGTTCCTCCAAATACTGCAAAGAATAAACCACCAATTACCTGGGAATATAACACTTTCTGGACATCTGAAAAGTAAAATCTCTTCATTATAATTGTGTGAGAATTGATTTTAACATAGCTGTAAAAACAATACTAATTTTGAAAATAATGAAAATAATTCTATCATCATAACTTACATATAGACAAATCTTGTTGGGGCCCTTTATAGCTTGCTGTTCGGTGTGAGCCAAGGCTTCGTTTTACTTTGACCTATAATTGTTTACTTTTTACACATTGTGACTTGGATGGATAGTTGTCTCATTGGCACTCATACCACATCTTCTTATTTATAAATAATAATAATATTTTTGCAATTTTGAGAACTGTCTGAAAATTTTACATACTTGATCAAGACATTTATTGCCTACGAGGCTACTTGGAATGTGAGAACAAGCAGTGAAATATATTTAGTTATTTCCATCAAGAAGGGAACATGCCAATATTAAAAATAGTGCTCATTTAGGATCAGTTTTCCCAATAAAATACATTGTACTGTAATTCTAATCAAAGCTTTTTCCAAGTTCATTTTGTATTTCATTTTTAGACTGAATCCTTGCATGTGTAAATTTCATCCTGTCAAATATCATTAATTTTTAATAACCAACATAAGTGAATCTAAATTCTAAACTTTTTTTGGAAAAATACTGCAATGCTATGAAGATATTCATGAAATAATCTGAGTTATTCCCCTTGTATAAAAATTTTACCCACAAATTGAAAAATTAAATATCCATAGGTTATTTTAACTTTCCATTTATAAAATATAATTTTCAACATTAAATATAAATAAGATGTGGTATGATTGCCAATAAAACAGCAATCCATCAAATTCAAGATACATATCAGAAGACCGTATATTATCTATTTACAGTTTGCCTCATATCTTGAATTACATTTAGAAATTGACAATGATGGTCGGTTGAGAAACAAACTACATATCAAAAGAGATGATATCAAGAGAGCCATGGTATTGTCAGCTTTTATTGGCCTTATGGTTTATGATAGCCTTCTTGATGTCTTCTCCCTTTTTTAACAAATGTTGAGCAGTGCAATTTTTCTCGCAGGGCATATGATATGTAAAATTGACAGTATATAAGAAATCAGTATTCTACTTACTTAAAGCACCATTAGTATTTTCATTATTCAGTACACCAAAAGCAATGGATGGCATAAGACAGGCAAAATACAGGAATAGTGTTGTAGATATCGTCTTCTGTATTGTTTTATTTCCAGTGAATCCTGCATGAAGATAATCGCATATTTAATAATTACATTTTTAAATCCTTCTCAGCAAATATAGTGAGATTTTTTACTCTTGAATAAGTTGGAATAGAAATAATATATTGCTTTCTCAATCTGCAGCTATAAATCAAAATTAGGTGACTTTTCATTTTGTAGTGAAAAAATCCCATAAAATATGAAAAGGAATTGGTTGAAAAATTCTAAAAGTAATGTACAAAACAGTTGGGTTTTGGGTTTAAGAACAAAACCTGAAATCCTTTTTGAAAACAAAGTTAAAAACTTAATTGAAATAATTCAATTTTAATATGGTTTGATATGTATCTATTTATTGTACTATAGTGCTGAAACTCCAACCTTGAAATTTTACAGTTTAACACGACAATTATATTCTATGGACCTGTAAATTTGTTCACATGTATATAATTGCTGATATTTATTTGGAAAATTGAAAAATTACGAAAACTGCATTGGCATATTTTTAAGCATGTCAACTGTATGATCAAAAATTTTCTTGTAGCATCAATTACACATTTGGCAGTAGATTTTACAAATTACAAGAGGCTCTCAAGAGCCTGAATCGCTCACCTGCATTTCAGAGGAGAAGATTTTTAAATGTTAGAAAACTTGATGAACAAATTGTGTAAAATTGTCTTTAAAGGGCAATAACTCCTTAAGGGTCAATTGACAATTTTGGTCATATTAACTTTTTTGTAGATCTTACTTTGCTGAACATTACTGCTGCTTACAGTTTATATATATCTATAATAATATTCAAAATAATAACAAAAAACTGCAAAATTTTGTAAAAACTACCAATTTGGTGGCAGCAACCCAACAATGGGTTGTTCGATTCGTCTGAAAATTTCAGAGCTGATAGATCTTGACCAACTGAACAATGTTACCCCATGTCACATTTGCTCTAAAAGATTTAGTTTTTGAGATATAAGCCAAAAACTGCATTTGACCCTTATGTTCTATTTTTAGCCATGGCAGCCATGTTTGTCGATGGATACAAACTTCGGATACAATTTATAAACAAGATACCCAAAGGAACATTTAGTTAAAGTTTGAAGGTAATTGGCCCAGTAGTTTTAGAGGAGAAGATTTTTAAATGTTAGCAAACTTGATGAACAAATTGTGTAAAATTGTCTTTAAAGGGCAATAACTCCTTAAGGGGTCAATTGACAATTATGGTCATATTAACTTTTTTGTAGATCTTACTTTGCTGAACATTATTGCTGCTTACAGTTTATATATATCTATAATAATATTCAAAATAATAACAAAAAACTTCAAAATTTTGTTAAAACTACCAATTCGGTGGCAGCAACCCAAGAATGGGTTGTTTGATTCGTCTGAAAATTTCAGAGCTGATAGATCTTGACCAACTGAACAATTTTACCACGTGTCAGATTTGCTCTAAAAGCTTTAATTTTTGAGATATAAGCCAAAAACTGCATTTGCCCCCTATGTTCTATTTTTAGCCATGGCAGCCATGTTTGTCGATGGATCAAAACTTTGGATACAATTTATAAACTAGATACCCTAAAGAACATTTAGTTAAAGTTTGAAGGTATTTGGTAGTTTCAGAGGAGAAGATTTTTGAAATAGTTTACGACGACAGACGACGACAACGACGACAGACGACTAACGACGACGGATGCCAAGTGATGGCATAAGCTCACATGGGGCCCCTCGGGCCCCAGTGAGCTAAAAAAGTTCTATAATTATAGTTTGGATTAAAATTAAGACACCTATGTTAAAATAAACATCTAAAGATCAGATTTCTTGTACTGTCAAAAGTATTTAAATCAGAAAAATCTTCAATAGACACTAAAAATGAAACGTCATTCATATAAAACTAGATGTGTCGAAACAACACGAATGGGTCCACATGCAAAAAAAGATGAAAGCCATTTTTAGGAGTGGAAATTTGAGAATGAAAGTCCGTATAACTGTTATTTTTACAAAATTTTCAAAGTCCAAAGCCTGTAATTTCAGCAAAAATCAATGGAGCAGAACCAAACGTAAACTCGTATTGTAACTCCTCATAGTAGACTCACATACTAAAAATCAGGTCAATAAATGAAGGCTTTTAGAAAAAAGTCTGTATAACTGTTCGTTACGGAATGACAGAATGACAGATAAGGGTAAAACTATATGGCCCTGACAACTTAATGTGGGGCCATCAAACAAGACTTTAAAATTTAAACATTGGAGAAAATTATATTTCTTCAATTTTTTATCACTGTCCTATATAAAACCTACCATCAGTATAATCTGAGATGTAATGTGGCAATCTTCTGTTTAGATCTTCTTTAATTCCTTGAAACATCCTACAGTTGCATTTTCTCTGAAATATATACACAATATGCTACTTTTGGGGATAATCTGTAGTTCATCAAGTTGTTAAAAGGTTCAAACAATATTATTTTTTCCCCTAATTTTCTTTCTGATTTTCGAAGGTATGTCAGTTGAAAATAAAAGAAATAAACAGCTGCGCCATGAGCGCATGATACGCCTGTCTTCTTGTGTGTGAATTTTTATGCAATAATCATAAATAGTTTCTGACATACGGGGCGACATGCGAAAACCCCCCTTTTTTTTACAAAAAAATCAAAATCTCTAAAACAAAATTTGGAATCAAAACCAAAAAGTATACAGATCTTTAGATTAATATAACTAAGAATTGTGTAAAATTTTAAGCAATAATCATAAATCGTTTTTGGGATACGGCGCGACTTGTGAAAACCCCCCTTTTAAAAAAAAAAAAATCAATATCTCTAAAATAAAATTTTGAATCAAAACCAAAAAAGTATACAGATCTTTAGATTAATATAACTAAGAAGTGTGTAAAATTTTAAGCAATAATCATAAATCGTTTTTGAGATACGGCGCGACATGTGAAAAACCCCTCCCCCTTTTTTTACAAAATACGCAATAACTCAAAAATAAAATTTTGAATCATCACCAAAAAGTATACAGATCTTAAGATTAATATAACTAAGGAGTGTGTAAAGTTTTAAGCAATAATCATAAATTGTTTTTGAGATACGGCGCGACATGTGAAAAAAAACACACACCTGTTTTAGTTACTAAGTCCTGTAACTCAAAAAGTTTTAATCTTATTTTCACCAAAAAGTATACAGATCGTTTGACCATCATAAGAAACAACTATGTTAAGTTTCATGAAATTTGGATAAGTCGTTCTCAAGTTACGGTGCGACATGTTTACGCCGGACAGACAGACGACATTTGTATATCATAATACGTCCCGTCAAAAGGTTCAATTCATCACTGCCAAGCTGCTGACTAAATAAGAAGTCACTCTGTCCAATACTTGTCAAGAAAAGTGTGATGAAAAATTACAATTTCATTCAGAATATTGAAATATTCAAAGCATCGATAAACACGAAGTATGTATCTGAGAGACCAGATAAGTGTTCTAACATCACAACACATCACTATCAAGCTGCTGACAAAACACTAAGTCATTGTGTTCGGGTGTACCAGAGAAAAGTGTGACAGAAATAATTCTTGAAGGCATTAACTGACAAAAAAACCAATGACAGACAGACAAGGTGAATTCAACATAGCCCCAACTGTGTGGGGGAATAATATACCGGTAATCTGCTATTTTTGAGGATAATCTTTGGATAATCTTTGGTTTTGGCCTTTTGGTTATAAAACTTTACTCAGTACTTGGAATACAAAATTTGTGCTTGAAACACCAAAACCAGTATTTTAATTGGTAGATTTCAGAGTCTTATCATAATCAAGGTTACATTCAAACATTGTGATTTTGTACTCATTTTCAAAGGTTTTTTTTTAGTTATAATATAAGAATACTGTAAATTCATAAATTATTGTGATTTCTGAAGTATGGATTTAAATGTGAGATTAATTATTGCGATTTCAGGAATAACTTAATACAGATACATGCATCAGATATAAGAATGCGATTATTATTGCGATACTCACCCAGTCGCATTATTTGCAGTAATAAAAACCTCGCAATAATTTCTGATTTTACAGTACTGTGATAATCTGGTTTATTTCAATTCTACTAATGTCTCAAGCAGAATGATTTTCATATGTACATCAAGGACAAGCACAAGAAAAAAACAACATTATATAAATTAGTATACAATAAGGTTCATCTGTCAACATATATTTGTACCGCCTAATAGATGTTCCACTAGAAACTTTGTTATAAACAATGTCATAACATCTGTTCCTGTTGAAACAAATATTCTATACCATTTATTCCATTAGGAACATATACTGTAATATTTATTCCAGTGGAAATAATATTCCAGAATACTTTTTCCATTTGGAACTTATATTATGAAGGAATTTCTATTTCATGACATGTGGACTGAGAGATTGGATGAAAAATTACACTGCCAGGAGTAGAAAATGTATCAGAAATTTTGCCTATAGCCGGTCAACTGAAAACTCCATCAAAACAGTTGTTACAAGAGTTCTATGAAGATGTATACTAACAGTATCACTAGGTTTTTCATTAGCTAGTGGTATCTTTACTACAGTGTGAGACATTCTTTGTCTGTCTGCTAATTCTTTGGTTTGATCTTCCAGTAACTTTTTGAATTCTTCTTCTGTGTTAGCTCCCAGTAACTGCAGGCGGAAACAAACATCAGAAAATAATGTAGCAAAAGTTCGTCCAGTTTCCAGCTCGTTCTTTGTTCCTTTCTGAAATTAAGTGAACACTTTTTTAAAACTGTATATATTACTGTGGATTCATTAATATTCGTTGGATATTAATTTTCGTTGATTTCGTGGGAACAGGGGAACCACGAATTTAAATGTTCAACGAATTAGAAATTTTCTAAAGGAATGTATGCAGACATTGCCAAAACCATGAAATTTAATACCCACGAAAATGCAAGTTTTCCTCAATACACGAAAATTAGTACCCACGAAAATAAATGAATCCACAGTAAACTAGTTCAGATTTTTTTTCAAATTAGAAGCAATGGTAGTTTAATAAATGTTCAAATCTCATAAATCAAAATAAAAAGATACAAATCAAGGTAAAAAAACAATGGCATGAAGTCAGAAAGAGAAAGACTAGGTGTGATAGAGACAGGATCAGCGTCACCTGCTATGACAGCATCACCAATACATCTTATTGTTATTTGATGCCATTACTGTGCATCACAGACGTTACCTTAAAATTTTGATGTCAGGAGAGAATATGTCTGACGCCACTAATAAAAAGTGATTGCTGTATGATGTAAATTGTTCAATTGTTGTAAATTCTCAGGTCAAGCGTGGCAGATTCTGAAATACTGGTCTTTATCTGGAAAGGACCTTCACAATTAAATTTTACATTCCTGATATCTAGCAGACATAGCACATGCTACAATTTGTAGTTCCAATATATCATTTCACATTTAAAGCCTGAATTTATAAAGTCTAATTTAATTTAGCAATCTATTACTCATTAGGGAAACTTTTTTGCTTCACAAAACATCTTAAGTTCTTGTTTCATTATAATCATAAACATGACATGCATGGATATCTTTTCCAAATTTAGTCAATCATAAATCTTGGTTAAATTTTGCCACATGACATGGTTTAAATTGAAATTGGTTTTGACAATGTTGGCTTTACTCTTTGATAAGCAATCCTTGTCTAGACCTCTATTGTTTAAATAAAGCAGCTGATCTATTCTGTTGATCTCTTCAATTTATGGATCTTCCCCATCAAATTCTACATTTCTGACATTTCAAGGACATAGTTCATCCCCATATGGAAACATAAAATTTCACATAAAACAGCATGTGCAAGGCAGTAAAAACTATCTTTTACAGTCAACAGGTGATAATATTCTTTAAACATATAATGAACTTATCAATTATTGAAAATTGCAGTTGGAAATTTAATTTGAAATGGTTAAGTTTCTTTTACATCAATTAAACACTTCTGTCCATAATTACTTCAGTGAATTATTTATACTGTGTCTCTTTGTGTGTGTTGTTTTGCTATTTAGTCTATAAATTTGCTTACCAGTTTAAATGATATTAAATTATCAATTTTTTTCCTTTTCTGACATACATGAAAAAAACGTGAAAAAAAAACATGTTACATTATGTAATTTACTTAAGAATTGAAAGCTTTAAAAAAAAACGATGGAGTACAAAGCATTGTAAATGAATCACATCTGCATGAAGCATGCAAGCACTTCTTGCTAAAAATGTGGCTCCTCAGTAATATGCTTTCACTTACATAAAATTTCTAAAAGAAAAGCAATCAATATATTTATGGATCTTCAAATAAATTCATCTGTTATCAAAATTTTTAATCTAATGGTAAGAGATTTTTTGTAGTGATATGAATGCTGTATTTTTCCAAATCAATAGTTCATCATGAAGCTGAAAATTGCATAATGGCATTTTTCAAGCTAAGAAAATAAGTAAAAACTAAATGGAGAATGTGTCCATGGGACACAGCGATGATGCCCCCTCTTGCATATAACGCTATAAAGGGACATAACTCATGAACGGTAAAAGTGATGCAACCCAAATTCTAACTTGATCTTTGTTTTGTGGTAATAGGCATTGTATAAAAGTTTCATAACTTTTGGTTGAGGCAAACTAAAGTTAGAGAACGGAAACTAATTTTGGGACGTATGGACGTACGAACGGACATACGGAAGGATAAGGGTAACACTGTATGCCCTCTCTGGTGTGACAGGGGCATAAAAAACAAATTAGATTGCACTATCATATACTATAGAGTAATATTTCATTAATTTTATCATTGTTTTTTCTTTAAAGTCAACTACTTTCAGTTAGATAAAATTTGTGAATTTTTAAACATTGTAACTGCTTGATGCAAGTACAAGTTAGAGTAATGTAAAACTATTGTTAATCGAATTATTCTATTCTTACTTTTATTATACTAAAAATTGGAAACATATAATCATGATAATTGAATTAGATGATTTAATTTGCAGCCAATAACATCAATAAGAGATGAACTTCTATAAATATAATTATAAAACATACCTCCTTTATAGGAGTAAGAACCACAATAACAAAGTACACCTCTTCACTACTGATGCCAAGATTAGCTGGATATTTCAGTCGAGCTATTCCAATGTGTCGAGTCTGTATGGATGGAATACTTGCCCTATGAAAGAAGAGGACAGATTTAATACACCTTAATTAGTATTCTATAAATCAGTAAAAACTAAACCTGCCCCTTTTGTTCCCAAATATCATATATATACATAAAAGAAATTTCAATGGGACAGCTATGCCATGCATCTTTCCCATAATGATGTCAAGTGACTTGACCGGACAACTTCTGGAGCACTGTGATCTTATCAAATTTTTAGAACAATATTTTGAATTTGAGCCAAAAATATAAAAGCAGATATATGTTCTGATTATTATGAATTCATGTACCATTAAATTATAACATTAAGAGTTCTACATAGAATGTACTTGATACAATTCCAATAGTATTAACAACATAACATTTGATTTGTTGAGAGGTATGCAAAATGAATAGCAAACATAAAAATAAAGAGATCATAGAGATGATTGATACGATTGCCAATGAGACAATCTTATATATCCACCACCAACAACCCAAAAAACAAGGATGTGAAAACAACTTCAATTTTTAAGAGGCTATCTCTGCTGTTGTCATTTCAAATTTTATTATTCTGAAATTTTCTTTGTACCAGACAAGCATCAAATTATTCATCTTTTAGTTGTGCAAACCAAGGCAATTTTCTAAAGAACTTAATATTAAATTTAATGGCAAAAACTATCAATCATATTTTTTTCCTTTTGCTTGATCAAAATACTTTTTTCCTCATAGTTGGGTTCATTGTATACTTATATTGCACATATCCAGTTCTGGTCGTAGTCAAACCCTCCTATGGATATACTGGTATATTGTATACTTATATAGCACATATCCAGTTCTGGTCGTAGTCAAACCCACCTCCTATGGATATACTGGTACATTGTATACTTATATTGCACATATCCAGTTCTGGTCGTAGTCAAACCCACCTCCTATGGATATACTGGTACATTGTATACTTACATTGCACATATTCAGTTCTGGTCGTAGTCAAACCCACCTCCTATGGATATACTGGTACATTGTATACTTATATTGCACATATCCAGTTCTGGTCCTAGTCAAACCCACCTCCTATGGATATACTGGTACATTGTATACTTACATTGCACATATCCAGTTCTGATCGTAGTCAAAACCTCCTCCTATGGATATACTGGTACATTGTAGTGTTCTGCTTAACATATGTACTACAAAGAAAAGTTTTCCATATTATACAACAAAATCAATGCAAAAAATATTTAACCTATGGTTGTGACACCTGTATAAAACAAGAGGCTCTCAAGAGCCTTAATCACTCACCTGTAATTTTTTGCTTAAATCTTTTATCAATGATTATTTTTGCTTTTCAATATATATTAATGAGTGGCTTAAAAATGCCATTTAAATGTTCTTTGTATCTGTCATATTTTACTCAAAACCAAACAAATATATTTTACCCCTATGTTCCATTTTAGCCATAGTGGCTATGTTTCTTGACGTACAAGGAAATAAAATACAAAATTTATACTAGATACTCTGAAACTCATTTAGCCCAAGTTCGGCTGAAATTGATTCAGCAGTTTCAAAGGAGAAGATTTTTAAAGTAAGCAAACTAGATGAACAAATTAAGAAAAATTGTCTTTAAATGACAATAACTCCTTAAGGGGTCAATTGACAATTTTGGTCATATAAAAACTTATTGGTAGATCTTACTTTGCTTAACATTTTTGCAGTTTACAGTTTATCTTTATCTATAATAATATTCAAGATAATAACCGAAAACTGCAAAGTTTCCTTAAAATCATCAATTCAGGGGCAATAACCTAAAAATCAGATACCCGATTTGGCTGATAATTTCTTGGCAGGCAGACCTTGACCTAATGAATACTTTAACTTCTTGTCTAAATGCTTTAGTTTTTGAGATATAAGTCAAAAACTGCATTTTACCCTATGTTCTATTTTTAGCCATGTCGGCCATGTTTTCTGAGGAAACAGAAAATAAAACACAAGACTTATTCTAGGTAACCTAAAAATCATTCAGCTTAAGTTTGGTATTAATTTAGTTCAGTAGGTTCAGAGGAGAAGATTTTTTAAAAGTAAGAAAACATGATAAACAAATTGTGTAAAAATGTCTTTAATGGGCAATAACTCCTTAAGGGGACAATTGACAATTTTGGTCCTATAAAACTTATTTGTAGATCTTACTTTGCTGAACATTTTTGCTGTTAACAGTTTATCTTTATCTATATAATATTCAAAATAAAAACCAATAAAATGCTCCGCAGGGCGCAGCTTGATACGACCGCACAGGTCAAACCCTGAACAGTTGGGGCAAGTATGGACACAACATTCAAGCTTGATACAGCTTTGCATTTGGATTGTGATTAAATATTTGACACAGCATAGGTTTCTGACACAGAATGAATGTGGTCTAAGAACTTAAAAATTTTAAATTGGACATTCACCTATTATGGTCCAATATCCAAAATCTAAATACATGGTTAGATTCAGCATATCAAAGAACCCCAAGAATTCAATTTTTGATGAAATCAAACAAAGTTTAATTTTGGACCCTTTTGACCTCAATGTGGACAAAGTTGATAACGGGGCCCAAAAATCAAAAATCTAAATACATGGATAGATTCAGCATATCAAAGAACCCCATATATTCAATTTTTGTTTAAATCAAACAAAGTTTAATTTTGGACCCCGATTTGGACCAACTTGAAAACTGGGTCCATAATCAAAAATCTAAATACATGTTTAGATTCAGCATATCAAAGAACCCTAAGAATTCAATTTTTGTTAAAATCAAACTAAGTTTAATTTTGGACCCTTTGGACCTTAATGTAGACCAATTTGAAAACGGAACCAAAAATTAAGAATCTAAATACACGGTTAGAATCGGCATATCAAAGAACCCCAATAATTCAATTTTTGATGAAATCAAACAAAGTTTAATTTTGGACCCTTTGGACAACTTCAATGTGAACCAATTTAAAAACGGGGCCCAAAATCCAAAAACTAAATACACGGTTAGATTCAGCATATTAAAGAACCCCCAGAATTCAAGAATAAAACCCCATTGAAATTGGTCAAGAAATAAGCAATTTATAAGAAGTATCTTCTTTTGCACAATATACTGTGCAATTAAATATTTCTTGCTATTGCGCAATACTGTACAATTGACAATTTCTTGCTATTACGCAATATTGTGCTATTGGATATTTCTTGCTATGGTGCAATACTGTGCAATTGAAGATTTCTTGCTATTTCGCAATACTGTGCAATTGAAGATTTCTTGCTATTGTGCAATACTGTGCAATTGAAATTTTCTTGCTATTGCACAATACTTATTATATAATAATTTACACATCCTGTTTGGTGTGTATCTCCTACCATATCATTATTATTTGCTTTTAAATATAAATCAGAAATAACCAACTTAAAATAAAAATTTTAAAAGAAAAAAAAAAGGAAAAAAAGAAAAAAAAGGAAAAAAAAAACAAATCCCCCCCCAAAAATTTTTTGAACCCCCTTATGATTCATTCCCCCCAAACTCAATCCCAGCCTTCCCTTTGCGGTATGGTACCTTGTAGTACAATTTCAGAAAGATCCATACACTTACACACAAAATCAATCCCAGCATTCCTTTTGTGATATGGAACCTTGTGGTACAATGTCAGAGAGATCCATACACTAACACACAAGTTATGTCTGGAAGTTACAAAAATGCTTATTTTTGGCCCCTTTTTGGCCCCTAATTCCTTTACTGTTGGTACCATAACCCCCAAAATCAATCCCAACCTTCCTTTTGTGGTATTTAACCTTGTGGTAAAATTTCATAGAGATCCATTCACTTAAACTCAAGTTAGAGTGTGAAAACAAATGTGTCTTCGGACGACGCCGGACAACGACAACGACGCCAACGTCATTCCAATATACGACCACAAAAATTTTTTTGCGGTCGTTTAAAAACTGCAAAATTTCCTTAAAATCACCAATTTAGTGGCAACAACCCAACAATGGGTTGTTAGATTCATCTAAAAATTTCAGGGCTGATAGAACTTGACATGATGAACATTTTTATCCGATGTCAGATTTGCTCTAAATGCTTTAGTTTTTGAGATATAAGCCATAAACTGCATTTTACTCCTATGTTCTATTTTTAGCCATGGCGGCCATGTTTTTAGACGAAACAGAAAATAAAACACAAACTTTATTCTAGATACCCTAAGGATCATTCAGCTTAAGTTTGGTTGGAATTGGTTTAGTAGTTTCGGAGGAGAAGATGTTTGAAATAGTCTACACCAGACGGACGACGACGGACGCCAAGTGATGGCAAAAGCTCACATTTCCTTTGAAAAGGTGAGCTAAAACCTATAACTGTGAGTGAACCCAGGAAAGGATAGATACCCATCACATCTCATTAATACTACCACATATCGTTTTTTTCGCTTTGTTTGCAGCAGCTAAAGAAATGTAAAAATTTGACCCTGCGTAAATTTCCCTGCATATTCCAAGATTTATTGTTGTTTGAAAGTTTCATACATCATATTGTTAATTATCGTGTCTTTTGTGTTATTCAACAGATCACAAGAATGAGCATACTTAATAAATTAAGATCTCTGTTTTCATAATAATTAATTTGGCTAATCATACATGTTACACCTTTGACAACACTGCAATCAGTGACATATTAAATAATGTTAATAAGCCACAAACTATTGATTGGTGTCTTAACCAGAACAATTTGCCTTTAAAGTGAAAATAAAATAAAAATAAATCACATTTACACAGATATTTGTATATCTCTAATGATCAAAACTATCATTTTTGAGCATGTCCCAATGTACATAATTTATGTTCCTTGAATGTTCTCTGAATTATGTGTATTTTGTTTGTAGTACACCTATTTACTTGTAATCGATTACATGTCAGTCAATTAAGTTTATGCTGTTAACATCTGTAACGGTACAATACAGTTCTTTTTTCACATGTATTTTCCCAATCAGTGAAAATTATACACACCCTACATTTTGTCATCAAACTGAGAAAAAAAAGCGAACACAAAGAAAAACCAGATATATGATAGTAGTATGTTTTAAATAAACTAGAGGCTCTCAAGAGCCTGTGTCGCTCACCTGTATTTACTGATGCTTTGGAAATCATGTAAAATAAGGTTAAAATCATAATTAATAGTATTTGATATTATTTTTTATAATGATATCTAAGATAATAACAAAAAACTGCAAAATTTTTGTAAAATTTCTAACTCAGGGGCAGCAACCCAACAATGGGTTGTCGGATTCGTCTGAAAATTTCTGGGCAGATAAATCTAAATCTGATGAACATTTTTGCCACCTGTCAGATTTGCTCTAAATGCTTTAGTTTCAGAGATATAAATCAAAAACTGCATTTTACCCCTATGTTTTATTTTTAACCAAGTCGGCCATGATGGTTGGAAGGTGGAGTCATCGGACAAATTTTTTAAACTATATACCCTAATAATGATTATGGCCAAGTATGGTTAAATTTGTCTCAGTAGTTTCAGAGAAGAAGCTTTTGTAAAACATTACAAAAATTTACAAAAAATTGTTAAAAATTGACTAGTAAGGGCAATAACTCCTAAAGGGTCGACTGACAATTTTGGTCATGACAACTTATTTGTAGATCTTACTTTGCTTAACATTATTGCTGTTTACAGTTTATCTCTATCTATAATAATATTCAAGATAATAACCAAAAACTGCAAAATTTCTTTAAAATTACCAATTCAGGGGCAGCAACCCAACAACAGGTTGTCAGATTTGCCTGAAAATTTCAGGGCAGATAGATCTTGACCTGATAATCAGTTTTATCCTATGTCAGATTTACTCTAAATGCTTTGGTTTTAGAGATATAAGCCCAAATCTACATTTTACCCCCCATGTTCTATTTTTAGCAATGGCGGCCATCTTGGTTGGTTGGGGGGGTCATCGGACACATTTTTTAAACAAGATACCCTAATGATGATTGTGGCCAAGTTTGGTTAAATTTGGTCCAGTGGTTTCAGAGGAGAAGATTTTTGTAAAAAGCTAACGACGACGACGACGGACGACGGACGACGGACGCCAAGTGATGAGAAAAGCTCACTTGGCCCTTCGGGCCAGGTGAGCTAAAAAATGACATCTATAAAAATAAATTTACTTTAATCTATTTGACATGTAAGACAGACAATTTATATTCCTGTATGCACATCCTCAGGTATAGTGATCTACAACTGCCTAAAGTTTCATCAATATCCATCCAGTCTATTAGAAGGAGTGATTGTGCTTGCAAGGCACATGGACAGACAGACAGAGACAGACAGATAGATGTACATACGGACAAGGTGATTTCTATATATACCCCAATTTTTTTTTATACACCTTCCAAATTAATTTTTTTATATCTTATGCATAAAATGGTAAGATTAGGGGGATGAAATTACATGTTAAAAATATGGGTGATGAATTTTAAAGTAAAGTAGTGATTTGACACAGTTATGTTCTATTGATTTGCTTGGTCTCCAAATATTAAGTCCCTTGTGTGGACAGTGCATAACTTGCAATTTTTTTCATAAACCTTCCAAATTCATTCTTTATATTTTATGCATAAAAAAATAAGTAGGGTGATGAAATATACATTTAAAAAAATGTGGGTCCTGAATTTTAAGGTAAAGTAGTGATTTGGTCCAGTATAAAATTTAGGTAAAAAATTCATGTTTAATATTTACCCTGATCGTGTGTGAAGAGTGCTGATCTGACTTGATCCAAACTTATTTTCTCTAATTTAGACTGATCAATACTGGCTTTTGCCTCATTCATTTCTAATATTTTCTTGACAATATCATCGATGATTTCATCTACACCATTTTTATTGAGATCCAGTATTAATGCAAAGTTATCAAGAAATTTCTTTATATCCTTAGAAGCTCTGTATTCCATAGAGAAATCTTTTAATGGTACTTTCTGAAAAAAAAAGATAAAGTTAAAAAAGCAGTGGGCATCTTTAAATGACAAGATACCCCTAAGCTATATAGTGTAACAATAAATGTTAGCTACTGATCAATGAACCATGAAAATAAGGTCAATGTCAGCTGAATACTGTTACATGTGCAAATAGTTCTTTTATGGGTTGTATATTTACAAACTCATGAATGTGATTGCCAGGTCCGTTAGAATTTTTTCTTTGGTTTTCACTTGAGATCGACCATGTTGCAGAAACTACTAATACAGCACAGGAAAGACAATTTAAACAAAATTAAGTGCATAGAGAGAACCATACAGGTGAAAAATGGAAGGAATATTACAATCACAGATGATATCAGGGTCCAATAAATAAATTTAATATTAATTTCACTTTTAAAATACAGCATGGGATGTGTTTTATTTAAACAACTTACCTCATGCCTTGAGTACATCAATGTGTGCCCATTTTCATCTGAAACAATAAGAATTTATATAACTGCAGTTTCAGAAGTTGTTAAAAATGTTTAAATAACAATATCTACATTTAAACATGATTATAAAACAGATAATAAGAATTTATATAACTGCAGTTTCAGAAGTTGTTAAAAATGTTTAAATAACAATATCTACATTTAAACATGATTATAAAACAGATAAACTGTGAAAATTAAAAAAAAAAACACTTAAAGAAAATATTTTTAAATTTAAGGACAAAGAAAGGCACATTATTGCAATTCCTTCAGTTTTTTTGTTTCCTTTATTTGTATTTCCTATATCAATTTATGAGGCTAGAACACCAGTAAACTACTAGTGCCTATCAACTTTATTACAACTTACTTTCAAAAATAAACTTACCAATAAAAGGATCATCAAATCTTACTCCACTTATAGTACTACGACTTTCATACATAGAATTTTTCTTGTTTGGAATCAAATGATTTGATCTAGAAGTGGCAATCTGAACAGATCCCTCACTCTTGTGTCTTCTCCTCCCCCCACCCTCGTCATCGCTGGCTGTATCAAGGGGAGATAAATATCCTCCTTTTCTGTAATGGCCAACCGAATCGACAGAGTTGTCTGATGGGGAAAGATACAATCTGCCATTCTGTTTTAGGTCTAATATTTTTGGATTTATTTTACTGAAATATAGATGTCCACTTTTTTCAATGCCATTGTGTGTAGTAGTTGGTGATGATGATTCTGACTGAATATCTGGAGTCTTCTCACTTGTAGGTGTCACAATAAATACTTGTTCTAATTCTACAGTAGTTTCCTCTGGAGAAGAATCCATTGTCAACAAAACAATCTACAACCTACAAAATAACAAACAGTCATTTAGTATAAATACTACTTTTAACTGTAATGACTGTTTTGGTATATAAATATGGTGACAACTTAAAATCAAAAGGAAATGCAGCATCCAACAAAAAAAAAAAAAGTTAGAATAGGAAATGAACAGTGTTTATGTGGAACTGTTTTAGTGAACCAAAACTAATGTCTCCCTTTCATCTCTAGGAGTCAATCCAGTAAACCTATTGTGAACTTAGTAGAAAGGTCTTGTCAAGGCATTATATGTGTAAGGGTTGGAAATCTGAACCATTTTTGAAATATTTAACAATTTATTATATGATAGGACAGGGCATGATTCAAACCCAGGGGTACACCCTTAGTTGCATTTGAAAATGTATTGCCATGGCAAGCTGCAAGAATATATATGAGGTTTTGATATTGACATATGAAATCAAATATTTGACATTCAAGGTCAAAGATTAAGGTCAGAGGTAATTCTCAGTAGTAGTCAACACATGACCTTGAGGTACTGTATTTATGTGTCAAATCTATAGCATGATTATTTCAAAGGACAAAAAAGTTATGTTCAAGACAATAGAATGTATAAAATTCAACTATTTTGAACTTGAGGTCAAAGGTCAAGGTGTAATGTGACACACCACATGAAACATACATAAATTTTGACTTAGATGGAAGGTTGTCTCATTGGCACTCATACCACATCTTCTTATATCTACCCTACTGAAAATGTAAAGTGGGATTTCACTGAAAATACCAGTGGAGTTTCATCAGAGTTCCATTGGAATACCACTGTATTACCACTGGGAAATTTGGTCGGGATTTTCATTGGACATTCATTGTTTTCCATTGGGATATCAGTGGAATATCCAGTGGGATTCCGGTGAATACTCGAGTGGAATACAGTGGAAATTACATTGGAATACCAGTGAAAACTTCGTTGGAATACCATTGTTTTCCCACTGGACATTTATTGTTTTCTACTGGGATACCAGTGGTAATTCCATTGGAAATTGTAACAATCAACCGAAGAAAACCAGTGATATTTCAATGGAAATTGACAATTCCACTGAAATGTTAGATATCATTTTGCATGCACTGCTTATTTTTGAATGAATTAATAAGAAAACTTGAAATAAGACAATAACCATTTTAATGCAAGTCAACAATTAAAGAAATTACAACAGTTTATACATCATCCACATTTAAGACCTTTTAAACGAAAAGATCAACCTCTTTAAAATATTAACGTTGATAAATTATCATTTTTTAGTCAAAGATGTATTTACTTAATTGTACATGTAAATCATTTTTCTGGTTAAATCATTCATAAGTCCATGGTAACTTTTGGTCCTCTTGAAATCTTTCACAAATGGTTTTAATTTTCAATTTTACAAATTTGTTTATTGTGCATTAACCAAACAAAAATGTCCAGTTTACATGCATACGAAATACTTTGTCAGTTTGGTCAGTTTTCTTCATCATCCATTGATATTATTCATGAATTAAGTCCAAAGTTTCTGCATTCCAATCCTGTTCCATTAAGTCTTCATTGATTAATCTGAAAGAAAAAAAATCATACATCATAACATGCATAGAATTTTGAATTAAAATAACATTACAATACCATGCTCCAGTCTGCAATTATTCAAAAATATATGTTACTGGCATATATATTTTATTTGTGTTTGTGTGTAATTTATTCACAACATTTATACACTAAGAGCAATTTAGACACATGTATGTCTATTGTTGAAGACTATGTGTTCTCTAGATATCTTTGGCTATAGTTGTTGGGTTGCTGTCTCTAAGACTCATAACACACATCTCTTTTTATCAAAATAGACTTCTATTGTTCATGGATCAGGTGTCTCTCAAAGCCAAATAAAATAGTATGTGTGGTTCCAGTTACATTTAAAAAAAAATTAGGGTAGGTAGGTAAGAATTTTTTTATTTTATGGTTTTTTTTTACATTGAGTCTATCATGTCTGCAATTATTCAAAAATATATGTTACTGGCATATTTTATTTGTGTTTGTGTGTAATTTATTCACAACATTTATACACTAAGAGCAATTTAGACACATGTATGTCTATTGTTGAAGACTATGTGTTCTCTAGATATCTTTGGCTATAGTTGTTGGGTTGCTGTCTCTTAGACTTATAACACACATCTCTTTTTATCAAAATAGACTTTTATTGTTCATGGATCAGGTGTCTCTCAAAGCCAAATAAAATAGTATGTGTGGTTCCAGTTACATTTAAAAAAAATTAGGGTAGTTGTTAGAATTTCTTTTTTTTTATGGTTTTTTTTACATTGAGTCTATCATGTCTATGGGAGCAACATTTTGACTTAAACAGTACTTACTGAAAAATGACAAAAAAATCTTTAGGGTAGGCTATTGTTAAGACTAAAAAAAAAGGTAGGTAAGGTAATTGGAACCACGCATATATTTTTATTTAGCCTCATATTATCTTTCCCTTTGTGTTGTGTTTGTTGTTGGTTTACTATCTGGTTGAAGCATACCAGACACCTCATTTTGATCACATAATAGCCATGATTAACCATTGTGCATGATGATCAGATCAATGTTTTTGAGATGTGTTTACAGCTTATAGATGTGAATGATTAACATGATTAATGTATTTTTATTTCAAGTGTGGGAAGGATGAAAAATAATTCAATAAGTACCTTTCAATAATCTTATACTCAAATTTCTTTTCTGCTGCTGGTTCGTTTGTTTTCATCGTGTTTTCATATTATTGAGTGGATATTGATCGATGCACAGTCATCATTTTTGCAGCTTTGTACCTTCACCATGATCAATCCCTTTTAAAATATGGACAACCTAAAAATAATGTAAAAACATTTTATTAATCATTTTTAATTCTGGTCATGACCTGTATGCATCATATATTACTGATATTTATCATACAATGTACATATATAATTAAGAAGCTTCTTTCAGTTAAGTATAAAGACTCTAAAACACAATATTAACCTTTAGGGATTTTTTGTGTTGCATGTCCATCCAAATCAGAACATGACAAAATTAAGTTGAATGTGCCTGACATTGTGTAGTAAACTGTAAACATCTTTCCTTGATTGTGAAGGCACACAATGTAATTCAATATTGAATAATAAAATTATTATTACATTCCCACCTCCCCCTTTTCAGAACACCAAATGGTCATCCTCAAAGTGTGAACTAACAGAGCCCATGAATAAAACTAAAGGGGGTGTATATCTTTTTTTTTTTAATTTTAATTAAAAATATTCATGATGTAAAAATCAAATGTAAAATCTCTTAAAAATTACCTGTATCTGCTGTACGTCTGCCCTACATCAGCACATCGTCTCATCGTAAATTCTTGGTTCATCCTGAGACTACTATAACACAGAGATTGGTCACTTCCTGTACTGACCAGTCAAATAGTAATTAATTGTAAGTCTTCGATCACGTGACTCGGCACGTGACTCGCAATGATTGACAAGAAGGATTCGACCGCCATTTTTGACAGCGAAAGAGAAAATAATAATTAACAAATGTGGATTTATAAAGAGTGTTATGTTCCGGTAAGTGTGAATATAAGATTTGACATGTTCATAAATGTTGGTTTATAAGCACTTTAAATAAAATAAGTGCAGTTATAGACTTGAATTTACCGACTAAACCGGAAAGTAACCTCGAGTTATTACCAGTCCGTGGGACAGGGTCAATGAGCAACTCACCCATAACTTACATTCAGATGAACAATCTGTTTTCCGGATAATGTATGTGCAAGCCTTAGTAATTAACCGATGTAATGATGTAAAATTTGTAATTATATGAAATTCCAATTTTTCTGTATCAGTAAGTTCCCACTGCAGAACTGAGAAACACACGAGACAAGTTGCACACACACAACATGAGGTATGATAGGTGAATTTGTATTGTTAGTGAAAGAAATTTAGATTTATATTTGGTTCCCTTGATAATATATATGCAGTCTATACATGCTAGTATAATAATATTATGCAATGAAAATGTGTCACCATGTGAAATACCAGTACATCATGAGTTTTTTTTAAATAATTGACCCAAACATGATGTAAAAAGTACATGCACCTTTGGTCTGCATCCTTTATCAGTTTAACTATTTTGATCCATATTGACATGATTGGTCAATTACTGCTAAGTCTCAAGTCTCAGATTACTGTCTTAAAAATTAATGAATTGCCTATGCTATAAACTTGACAAACATTATTTCTTTTTATTTATAATATATTCTTTATTGTAGGAATACCCCCAGAAAGAAATCACGCATTAGAAGAAGGGAGAAGTACAACAGGAGAAAATGACTTTTTTTAGTATTTTTTTTAATTTCATTGAATTTTTCATGCTTGTCTTACATGGAATTGGAGAAATAAATATTTAAGTCTTTGAATATACATTTTTATTATTATATACATTAAAACTAAGACAGGAATGCAGAAATTCACTACATTGTGTAACACGCTCAGTTTGGATAACAGTTCAATGAAAGAAAAAAAACAAGTAACCACACATCTTTATATATTAAAGGAATAGCCACATGAAGCAAACTTTAAGGAGATTTTTATATATTTTTGCTAATGATCATCAGACAACTCCTTTAGTCCAAATGAAGTTCAATGAAGTGGATGTAAGTTATTGGAATGCACCGTAATTACCTTCAACAATGAGAAAACCTATAACGTGCAGTCAGCTTCAAAAGTCCCCGACATGGAAAATATATAACAATTCACTAGAGAAAACGAAGTATCTACAATAACAAAGCAATTTATGAAAATTTAAATATGACGGACATGAACTAACAGCAACCACTGAATTACAGGCTCCTGACTTGAGACGGGCACATAAAGAATGACAATGTTAAATATTTTTAGGCGCTCATCACCACCACTAGCATGGGACATTGGTGTAACGACATAACATAAAAACAAACTTTAAACATAATTTGAAAATAGTTCATTTCGGTTTAAT